CCCGCCTCACGGAGATCGCACAGGCCCGAGTCTGTCAAGAAGAAATCCAAACAGGGGGCGTTCACAAAACACCCCCTGATGGGGGGCAATTGTTGGGCATGTGACTCGGGCCTAGCCGCGCCAAGGAACAAGTCGGGCCCAGCCACGTCAAGGAACAGTGCGCGACTAAATATACCCCGATGTGGCAGCGCGAAGACCCCGAGCGCGACACCTCGTCGTAGTTAACCACGTCTTGGCGCGAAGAGCTTAGGCGCGGAATGGGTTACATGCGCCAAGTGAGAGCATAGCGTAGGCTAAACCAAGGGACGAGGAAAGCGTAGCTTTCCTCCCCAGAAGGTAGTCACATCAGGCCCATGGATAGGCCTCTGACACGTCCTAGGTAGAGGGATGGCCAGGACATGGCCTAAAATCCTTAGTATGTTAGTGGTCACATCATTGTATCCCAGTAGTCACATCATTGTATCCTCGCATGAGTCAACCACTCACCCACCACCATGAAGACTATAAATACGGCATTTACTACGGTGGGTGAGAGGGGGCATTTTTCGGGCATTCTCGCTCTATAGCGACGACTTCTCTCTCAAAAGTTCTGACCCTCACTCATCGTACTCTTCCATTCTTCTCCTTCCGATCCATTCCCACGCTTGCGTTCTTCTTGACCCAAACTCTCACCTGAATCTCACTCCTACACCCAGTTAGGTTCAAACACTAAGTAAAACTGCATTAAAATCGAGTTATTCATTTTCTTTTTGGATATTCAAAAGATACAAGTACCGTTTAAACCCCAAACAAAATAAGTAAAATTATTCAAGTATTATTTTTGGACCCATAATACGTTGGGCTTTGAGTAACACTCAAATATCAAGTCTCTTTACCACCCGGTAGACACGTATACAATCAGCTACATGCAAACATAATAACAACCGGCCGGCCGGCCGGCCACTACTCGCCGACGGCGACAAAGCTCATGGTGCACTGAGGGAGCGTCACCGCCCCGTAAAGGTCGAAAGCACAGCTCTGCGCCAGCGAAAGTTTGGCCCCGATCAGACAGCTGGCACATGCCGAATCTCCGACGTCCGGAGTGCAACTGGCCGAGCCGTAGACGGCCTGAGGAGCGGCCGTTGAACCGGGCGGAGGAAACGTGGTGGAGTAGCTGTATCCTTCCATTGTCGGCGTCACGTTCGCCAGCTCGTCGAGCACGTGCGCTTTGTACGCCTCGTAGTCTGCCGAAGCGCCGGCGCCGAGGCAGTTCGGCGCCGACGAGGTTTCTTTGATCAGAGTGCCAGCGGCTGCAACAACAACAACAACGACTAATGTGAGCAGAGAGATCTTCATAGTTATGTTTGGAAGCTGGCTGGTTTCGGGATCAATCTGGGTTTTAATTTCCTTGGTATTTTTTTTTGGCGCAGAAACATGTATATATATATTTGTGACTTAAAGTTAAAAGTCGTTCGGATCTATATCCAGCGATGACTTTTGCCTTAGAATATGAATTCCTCGGCGATGTTGTTATAACTTCAGTGCCTTGTTTTGGCGGCATAATTAGGAGAGGACGCCGTTTTGGAATTGTAGCGTGGGTTACGACAAACTATGTGCTCAGCCACGAGCATATATAGGTGGTGACGACATTTATCCCTGAGTTGAGAACAGATATCAAGAGGAAACGCCAACTTTTGTGCGGCTTCTACCTTATATATAAAAATAAAATACACCCGAAATTGTAAGGAAGTGGTTAAATATTATTTATAACCTCTTTTAATAATTTGGGTTCTTGGAACCGGTTGGGTTTTAACATGATATCATAATTGGTTTGTTCTTTGAGATCACGTGTTCAAGTCCTCGTGATTCTCAATTATTATTGATTCTAAACTTAGAGCAGCCTACTTCAATATGTTAAGACCGGAGAGCACTGATTTTCTAGAGTCTTTAACTACCTTCAGCTCCGTGCTAATACCTGGAAAAAAGGGTATTGGTTGGAACCTCCTTCGACGCTCAAGTTAGTAACCCGAATGAAATAAAGAAAATACGATAACGTTAGACATGATTCGGCCTCACAGTCGTAATTGAGCATCATCGGTTATTTAATGCCGCCCGGTGGAGACTATCCACGATTCCATGATCAGTAGTCCGCCAAATTGAGAATGTGTTAGTTAATGTGACTTGAATCGAACTATGAGCCGTTACGACTGGTAGTCGGGGGTACTATAAATACTTCTCATACTCCTCTGTAATCTGTAATCTCCTCAATATAGTGAAACTGGCTCTCTCTCGCCCGTGGACTAGCTAACACACATCGTGTTAGTGAACCACGTAAATCGTGTGTCTGTGTTTTTTCGATTCTCGCTTTCGTATTCTTACTTTATCGATTTCGGCGATTTCCCGATCCGTAGCAGCGCGTTTATAACAGTGTTGAGTGTTTACAGATTTAACACGTTTTGGGAGATTAGAAAGAGAGAGAAAACTTTTTTTTATATATAGAGAAAAGGTAAAGAGGGAGGTGCTCCTATTTATAGGAAAATATCGTAGTTGACTTCTCTAACTTAGGTCAACATTCTCCGTTATTTCACAATACTCGTCAATATTCTCCGTCATACTTTTGCATTCTTCGTCATACACCAACATTTCTCATTTAACTATTGTATATATATGAAAAATAAAAGAGTAGGGATATATAGAAAGAAAGTAGGGGAAGTTGTAGGAATTGGTATACATATGCATATGGAGTTATGGACATGCATGTGTGGGAAGAAGCGGATGTAACAATCAGGGAAAATCACCAGCCCGAACCTGGTGAAAAGCGCAACTCCCTTCCAAAGACGCTACGTACGTATGTAGTAGCTAGATGCATTTCGAGACTTCAACCCCTGGAGTACAAACTGACCATCATTAGTATTATAAATTTCAACAGGATCTGCAAACATATGTGCCAGCAGAAGGAAAGACAAACACAAAGTTGATTGATTTGGGACACTAAACATAAAGACGTACGTACGGTGCACATTGTTGTTATTCATTGCAGAGGTATACAATCAGCTTGCATGCAAGCTGAATAAACACTACCACCTAGCTAGCTCTCCACACTCGTCTTCATGCCCACATATAACATAATAACAAAGTTGGAGTCTGTACGTAGCCAGCCAGCCGGCCGGCCACATTATTCGGCCACGGGGACGTAGCTCATGCGGCAGAGATCGAGTATCACCAGCCCGTAAAAATCGTAAGCACAACTCTGGGCCAGCGAAAGTTTAGCCTCGATCAGACAGCTAACACATTCAGTAACGTCTCCGACGTCCGGGGTGCAACTGGCGGAGCCGTAGACGACGTCACTAGCGGCCCCGGAACCGGCCGGAGGAAACGAGGTGGAGTAGCTGTATCCTTCCATCGTCGGCGTCACGTTGGCCAGCTCGTCAAGAACGTGCGCCTTATGCGCCTCGTAGTCCGCCGAAGCGCCCGTGTTGAGGCAGTATGGCCCCGACGTCGTCGACGACGAAGTTTCTTCAACCCGACTGCCGGCGGCTGCAACTACTACTATTACTAGTAGTAATGTGAGAAGCTTTAGCAGAGAGCGCTTCATTGTTTATGCTATTTCGTATAATGCGAGACTGGGGATGCTTTCCTTTTTTTTTTATAGTACGTACCAAGCAGAAACCTATGTGTCGCAACGTAACGGCGTCGTGCTCTATATCCGGCCTTATTAGCATATTAATATTCCTCGGCGCTGCTGTTTGAACTTTGACCTTCTTTTGGCAGGCATATTTAGGAGATGACGCCGTTTTGGATTTGTAAGCGGGGTTTCATATATAATCCATCTGCTGCCAGCCGTGAGCATAGGTAGGCGATGAAGAAAGGTTGAGCTTGAATTGGTAATTGTGATTTGTGACGTGAGCAAGGTTGTCAAACAGGTTTATACCGTTGTGCCGGTTTGGCAAGTGGAATGGTACGACCGGTGGTATAACCAGTTTGTGTCGGTTCATGCCGGTTTAAAAAAATGTGAAAACAATTAATATCCAATGTATTTAAACATATTTGTGGACAATTGAGTTACAATCCAACAAATATCATCAACTTTTAACTATTACATTCATAAAATGAATAATAAATTAATTTTTGTATTCATTAAAATGATGTCATTTTACTTAGAGTACGTAAATCGATCATACCGGTCATACCGGTGGTGTCATGCCGGTTTCATGACCGGTACAGGTTGAACCAGGTTCAACCGGGTGGTATGCCACCAGCATGACAACCATGGATGTGAGTTGAATCGAATGATTTGTTTTGGACCGGATTAGGGATGGCAGTTTTGCCTAAACTAATGGGTATTTTATTATTCAATTTATTTAGGTTTGGTATGGAATTTAAATAGATGATAAATTTTAGAGTTTGATGGGATTATATCCATATCTATTTATTTGAGTTAGGTTGGGGTTTTAATTCATGGATTAGTAACTCAATTTATTAATTTTTTTAATATAAGTCCTCAAAATATCGATGAACAATTATATTTTAGTACATAAATTTTTTTGGTCTTACATTTTGATATCTAAACTTTTTAAGTTTTACAAATATGTCCAATTTTTGTATGTGTAGTTAAAACACTCTCAAGTAAATGGATATTTATATCCAATCCATAGCCATTTAGATTATGGAAGCAATATTCATATCTTACCCAAGACCATAATACTTTATCCATACTCTACCCATTATCAATGGGTCTACTTTGGTTTGGGTATAATTAGCCATGGGCGGATATTTGTCATCCCTAGACTGGATGTCACGAAAATCTTGTTGTAATTTGTATCAATAAAGCAATCTCCTCAAGTATAATAATGCTGGCTTTCTCTCCCCCGTGGACTAACCAACACATACATGTTGTTGCCGAACCGCTTAAATTCATGTATTCTTTACTTTCTTGTTTGATTGTTGTGTTGCTTGTTAATGTCGATAGCCCCGATCCAACATCCGACAATAAGTATAGCTGGACAAAAATCCGATCTATACATAATCAATACCGAATCAATATTTTGGATGTGATCATGTATGGCGATAAGCTAAACTTCCTAGTACATATTTTGTAACATTTGTTAGTAAATTAAGAATTAAAATATTAAAAAAATATGAAATCACCAATAAAAAACTTACACGTCCAACCAATTAAGGTTGGAGCTAAGAATTTTCCTTATGCATGTCCGATCCAATATCCTATTCCTTTTCCTTTCCAGTGTGAATAGAATCAACGTACTTTATTCTAAAAAATATACTCCAAGTCTTACTTATTATTGTGTTGTCAAGCTAATAAAAAGAGGTACAGCAGCTGATTCCAGGTATCAGGGACGCCGGCGACGCACCAGTGCGTGCAATCCATTCTGCCGCCGGCGCCATTGTAGGTCGCCGGATGCCCATCTATCCTCAGCTGGGAAAGTGTCGTCACATTCAGAAAATGAACATGTTTCTTCTTCTTCACTTTCCTCAGCTCTGCTTCCACCACTCCGGCGATCGACGGCAGACCTCCTGGATATCTGGAACCGGCCACCGGTACCGTCTCCCTGGAGCAGTCCCTAAGTTCCGGCTTCCCCCACTCGAACCCACTATTGTCCATAATAAAGGTTAGCAAAATTAATGACATAACGACACCAAAAATTAACACGAACAGATGTAATGAAATTAATTGATCATTACCGGTAATGAGCGGGGAAGATCCCCTCGAAGAACACTCTAGTCTTTGTAGTGTTGACCGCTGAGTCTACCCATCGTCCCCACGTTGCCAAAGCTTTGGCCATGGCAGTTGTCCTGTCCATGTCCTTCACGATTGTGTTACCATCTTGGACAAAATCCCACCTACAGCAAAACTAACTAGAAGCTTTCAGTCATGACTAAAAAACTGTACCGTACATGCGATTCAACCGCAAAGTAGCCATATCGAAGCAAAATTCGGAAAAGGGTACAAGCAGATGTGGTAAAAAAGTGTCATTTGATTTTAGAGGTTGAATCTAGAACCGTGTTATTTTGATCGATTTTAACCATACCGAATAATCTGGAAAGTTATAAAAAACAATCCCAAACATCAAAACGACGTCATTTTAAAGAAAAGTTGGCAGGGGAAAAATGAAAATAAGGTACGTATAACTCTCCTCTCCAACACAACGTTAATCGACACATACTCCATCTTTTTTCTCTCATCCTCAAAAGCGACACTCAGTCCTCTCCACCAAACAGAGATGGAGCCCTCTCCTTACAGTTGGGAGAAAAGGTAATACGTACTTTTGCATTTTGTAATTAAGTTGAGTTAGACTTAAAATTTCAAGAATAATTGGATGAAGTTGTGAATTTTCTAGCTGGACGGTATTGTAACAAAAATATATTATTTTGTATTTTAAAAACATTATTATTTTACCATCATGAAACGGTTGAACATTGATCCTATCATAAACTAACCTACCAAGTGATAAAAAAACAAAAAAAACCTAACGTACCCTTTCCGACTGCCATTGACGTTCCACCAGAAACCGGTGTTGAAAATCAACACGTCCACTTGTTTCCACGCATCTCCGCCACGGATGGAATCAAGCTTCAGTACTCTTCTCCCGAATTCTCCTTCTTCCTCGATGTCCACCAAGTAGCGGCTGAAGAATGATGTTACCGTAACTCCATACTCCTGCATCATCAACAAAGATAAATGAAATGGAAAAGATGAGAGTACTGATCATCTCATCATCACACGTACGTGGAAAGTGACGGAATGCCATGGGTCGGAAGCGGAGACGTTGGAATCGGGGACGGCAGCGTGGAGAAGGCAGATCAAGGAGTTGTAGTGATTGAAGGTGACAGAGTCGCCGACGAACATGATCTGCTTCCCCTGCATCTTCTCCAGGAACCCAATCCCACTGAATCTTCGCCACGGAAAAGAAAAAAACGAGAACATGTGAAGGCTCTAATACTAATTCGTCCCAACAATTCGTACAAAGTTAAGTACCTACGTACCTGGGCAGGTTGCAGCCGGACGGCTGCCACCTGTACTTGAGGTACTGGCGGTCTGGTCGGCCGTACTTGTGGCAGTCGAACTCTGGCCTGATGAAGGGACACGTGGCAGAGTAGTCGGAAGGAGGGTAGGACTCGTCGAAAACCCAGCTCCCGCTGAAGATGTCGCAATTCTTGTTCGCCCCTCCTCCGGCTGAGCAGAGGAATATGGGGGAAATCATGCTCATGATGATGATGAGGAGGACGACGATTGATGTAAGAAAATGGGGACTTCGTTTGGCATCCATTTCCGAGCTCTGTCAAGAGATTGTGAGATCAGAAATGAAGCTAGAGAATGTTCTGAGCCAACAAGCAAATGGAAATCATGGTTAACACTCAAAGCCAATATATATATGTATTTATGCACTCATGAACTGTTAAGTAAGAGATCACAATTACGGAGAGAGCGCAGAGAGAGACGAAGTAGAAGAAACAGAGCATGAGGGTGGGAATTTAATTAGGGATCATGAGAGGGAATAAGCATAATTCCATTATTGGCAGCTCGACCTACTGACGTGAGTAGAAAGCCAAACCGCGTTGTTTTTTTTGGAGCTGTGGCTTGCTTGGTACTTTGGGTAACATGAATGGATTTGGTTATAATATGCACATGGATGTTGCAAATGCACGATGTATGTTGGAACTAAGTTAGTATATAATTGATGCGTATGAAACCGCTAACATGGATGCTAGCCGGATTAGGATATGGTGATTAAGGGGGTCTTAGTCATCAGACTAAGTCTCTCTCAACTGTTGATGAATTTTAGATCTAACGGTGCAATAGTCTAGCAGTAGGGACGGGGGCGTTATGGTCATTTAGCTTTTATTTAAAAAAAATTCGTTATTTTATTTTAATACTGTTCGTGGAGAGGAGAGAGAATAGCATACCTCACTTTCGTCAGTTTCCACCGTTTTTCACGGGAGAGAGGCCCTTTTTCTTCTCCGTCTCCACCATTTTTCCAGATCTACAAATTCACCAGTTTCATCTACAAATTCGTCAGTTTCGTAGGCGTTCTTCTCCGTCCGGCGGTTTGCATCGCTCTCTGTTTCAGCGGTTACTGAGTTTCGTCATTTTTTCCCTTACTTTGCGTCGGCGGTGTGTCGCGCTCAACTCGGCAAGCTTTCTTCTCGCTTCTCCGTCTGCGCCGACGCGGCGATTCTTTATGAAGACGAAGACCGCTTTTGGAGTATGTCAAAACCACATTTCTTATTTGGTATTCCCGATCGACTTTAAAACCCTAACCGGTTTTGATGCTAGGTCAGAATCACATTTCTAATTGTGGGTTGATTTGGAGAGTTTTAGTGATTTGCTTGTAATGATTGTTTAGTTTAATGTAGGGTTTGTATGGTTGGAATGGGTTGTTTGTATACTTTCTGCGTTTGCTTGTATTGATTGTTTAGTTTGTGTGTTTTCATACCTCTGTTTGTACTCTTCGTGGTTTTACAGTTTGTACACTTTGTTTCTCAATTCATATAGTTTGTACACTTTGTGCGGTTTGAAGTTTATGTATATGCTTTTGTACAGTTTATTACTCTGCTTCGTATGGTTTGTTATTTTTATGATTCTGCTTCGTATTGTTTTTTGATTGTATAGTTGGTATGCTTTATTGTATTGTTGGTTGACTTGTTCTGTTGTTGCTTTTGTAGCTTTTAAGTAAGGATGATAGAAGGTTCAGAGGCGGGAGGGTCAAGTACCCATGCTGCTGAAGTTACTAAAACCAAGAGGAATGGGGAGAACCTTAAGAATAAGGGGAAGGAAGTTCAGATTTCTGAGACAGGAAAAAGGAAAAGAAAGGTTGTTGGTGGAGAGAAGCAGAAGGCAACACCTCGTGGAAAAAGGCGAAGCGAGCTCCGGGGGAGGAAATGAAGCCGCTTTGAACTATCGATGCAGCCCGAAAGAGATTCTTAGTCATGTTGTGCCTCCTTTATCTCATGGCAGTGTACAATTAATTAAGCAGCTGGTTTTGGATTTTGTGTTTTTGATGAAGATGAAACATCTGGACAATGAACTTATTAAGTTCATTATTTCAAGGTGGGATGGGAAGAACAAATGTATCAACTTGGATGATGGGAAGAAGATTTGCTTTACTAAAGAGGATGTTTACCGAGTTTATGGCTTTCCAAGGGGACCAAATGTTGTTTCTTTGCAGAAAACATCAAAGGAGAATTCTAAGCTTGGTAAAAATTATGGTTTCAGTAAAACTAGGAAGGGGACTGTTGTTTTGACAATTTGAGGACTTGTATGGGAGGCCAAAGAGAAGTCTGATTCTAGGTGGGTGAATATGTATGTGCTGATGATTTTTTGCCTCCTTTTCGAATCTGTTTCATCCAGAAAGGTGGCAACAGAATACTTGACTTTTCTTTCTCAAGAAATGGTGAAGTATTTCTGTGACTATGATTGGTGCAGTTATGTGTATGGTCTCATTTGTGATAAGGTGACATCAAGTCAGCATATCAGTTGGCTTGAGGGAGATATGCACTTCTTGCTTATTTGTTTTCTCGATAGGACAACTGTGAATGAGGAAGAGGCCAGCCGCTGTGTTAGTAATTTGGTGCCAACCTGTCAGTTGTGGAGTCCGAAACTTTTGAAGCAAAGGAAGGCAGCAATAGAGAAGAAGTTTGGGAAGGATTTTGGTAAGGTTTTTGTTCTAAGGGATGCACCCATTTCTTCTACTACTCGTCCGAAGATGGCTCAAAGTCTTAGTGGAAATGAGTTTGCTGGAGGTGAGAAGGGTGATGGTATTGGAGATGACTTTCCAGACTTCGATCTGAATCTGGATGGGAAGACTGTTCAAGAGGTGAGTTTGTATGGTTTTGTATGTGTTCTTTGGTTACTTTGTACAGATTGTTATATGCTTTATAGTATTGTTTTCACAATTTATAAGCTTTATGATATGTTTATGTATTGTTTATACTATTTCCTATTATTCTTAGTATGGCTTGTTTGTACTTTTTGTATACTTTGTACTGTTTGTACACTTTGTATGTTTTGGTCTAATCCTTTGTACTGTTTGTATATTTTGTATCTTTTTGGTGTCAAGTTTTGTACAGTTTGTATACTTTTATATATATTTTACATTACTTTGTACTGTTTTGATACTTTGTATGTTTTGGTCTATTACTTTCTACTGTCTGTGTTATTTGTGTACATTCTCTAACTTATGTTTGTGTTTTCTATTGGGTTAAAGACACATTTGGTCACTGAGATTACAAAATCGGGACATGTTTAGTCACTAGAAAAAGTTAATATCAAATTTGGTCACTACAATTACTAAAACTGGGCACATTTAGTCACTCGCCGTTAGTCTCCGTCCAACCCCGTCAATGAAGTCCGTTAAGTGCTGATGTGGCAAACAGAATTGCCTAATCAGCCGGATATAACCCAACAAAAATAAAACCCGACCGCCACGTCATTATAACCCGCCACGTCATTAAAACCAACCCAACCCAACCCATGACCCAACCCCACCCAACCCTTCTTCCTCCTTCCTCCCACCTCCTTCTTTCCCCAAAACCACCGCCGTCGCTCTCCTCCTTCCTCCCACCTCCTCCGGCAAACCCGTTCGACCTAACCCAACAGACCAATCCTTAACCATCCCTCACCAAATCTGTTCGTCTCCTCTGATACATTTCTTCCCCCAAATCCCAACCCACCCAGAATACCAAAAAACCCCCTTTCCCACTTCTTTCCTCTCAGCCGAAATGTAACTCACGGCAGAGACACCCAACCCCTCCCATTCAAGGTTCTTTTGGAACAGGAATTCGGACACCGGCGGCAGCCTCAGTCGCGAATGTCACAGCGCGAAAGAACGGTCGCGGATGAGATCCCTCCAACTTTTGGAAACGCATTTCATCCGAAGCAAATCCTTAGTCTGCAGCTTCGATAGCACCAATTCGAGAATCTCGGGGTTGAGGAGCCTGAGTTTCTCCATTCCTTCGCCCATAGCTGTAGGGAGAAAATAAAAATGACATGATTGAACGAAGATGAGATTGTAGTTTCAGATTGTTGTGGAGAGAAGTGGGAAAGGGGGTTTTTTGGTTTTCTGGGTGGGATGGGATTTGGGGGAAGAAATGTATCAGAGGAGACGAACATATTTGGTGAGGGATGGTGAAGGATTGGTCTGCTGGGTTAGGTCGAACAGGTTTGCGGGAGGAGGTGGGAGGAAGGAGGAGAGCGGCGGCGACGGTGGTTTTGAGGAAAGAAGGAGGTGGGAGGAAGGAGGAAGAAGGGTTGGGTGGGGTTGGGTGGGGTTGGGTCATGGGTTGAGTTGGGTTGGGTTGGTTTTAATGACGTGGCGGGTTATAATGCCGTGGCGGGTCGGGTTTTATTTTTGTTGGGTTATATCCGGCTGATTAGGCAATTCTGTTTGCCACATCAGCACTTAATGGACTTCATTAACGGAGTTGGACGGAGACTAACGGCGAGTGACTAAATGTGTCCAGTTTTAGTAATTGTAGTGACCAAATTTGATATTAACTTTTTCTAGTGACTAAACATGTCCCGATTTTGTAATCTCAGTGACCAAATGTGTCTTTAACCCGTTTTCTATTATTTGTTTTGTTGTAGGTTAAGTTGATTAGGAGAAGGTTACAAAGTGTATTATATGAGTTGGAACAACAAGGTAAGTTGTACCGAAGACAGATAAATCAGTGTCACCTACACCTAGCTGATATCGAGGTGCACACTAATTCTGAAGGTGTTGAACTGGCTGAGAAAGTTACACAACAACTGATTCTAAAGGTGCTGAAGTTGTTGAGAAAGCTACAAAAACTGATAATGAAGAGAGTGAGAGTGAAGGCGGTTATCAGAGTGGGAGTGGGAGTGGGAGTGATGGTGATGGGAGCGACGATGGTGATCGGAGTGGTGACGATAATGATGATGAGAGCGATGATGGAGATGAGAGTGAGGAGGAAACTGATGATGATGTTGCTCTAGTTAATATGAAGAAGCCAGCACTTGTGCGCCAGCAGCCAGCAGTGGAGAAGATTGGAGTTGCTCGTGCTCCAGCACTTCCGCAGCAGCCAGCTGAGCTCCAGAAGACTCCAGCACTTGTGCGGCAGCAGCTAGCAGTGGAGAAGATTGGAGTTGCTCGTGCTCCAGCACTTCCGCAACAGCCAGCTGAGCTCCAGAAGACTCCAGCACTTGGGCGCCAGCAGCAACAGTGGAGAAGGTTGAAGTTACTCCTGCTCCATCACTTCCACAGCAGCCAACTGAGCTCCAGAAGACTCCAGCACTTGTGCGGCAGCAGGAAGCAGTGGAGAAGAGTTGAGTTACTCCTGCTCCAACACTTCCGCAACAGCCAGATGAACTCTAGAAGACTCCAGCACTTATGCGGCAACAGCCAGCAGTGGAGAAGACTGGAGTGACTCCTGCTCCAGCACTTCCGTAGTAGCCAACAATGGAGATTGTGGCATTTGATCCAGCACTTCAG